GCAGAAGAGAGTAGCATTTGACGTGTCTGGATAAAAGGCGAACCGTTCCGGAACCAAATGAACTGGCAACCTTTTGCTATATCTCGGATGATGTAAGGAGATATGGACGTGGTGTAAATGATTGGGAACGCGGTCACAATGGTCAGAAAAAGTGGCTCAGGTAGAAATCTTGACTTTTTGTTTTCGGTTTTCCTGCTTTCTTACTCTGAGCCAGGCACAGCGCCTCGCAGTCGATGTGAATCCGGTAGTAGACTATCTACCTCTCCTTCGTCTGTGCTGGAGGACAAAACTTTAACGCTTACATGACTCCAGAGGACTCGGAAGACTTTGATTGAATAATGTTGGTGGATTTCAGAAGAAAGCTGCAATTTACGGTGTAATCTTCACAAATAATGTGTTGTCGTGAGATGGAACCATTTTACTATACTCTTGTTGACCGAAATCGTTCCCTTGACTTTCCAAATACGAAGACTTTGGTATAAGAGTATTCTTTGACGCAGGTGAAAAGCCTCGTGCTTTCCATGCATTGAGAAGAAAAGTTTCGAGACTCACTAGGCCAAAGCCTTCTTGAATGGAACTGTGACTGTACTGTGCTTCATCTGCTGGACAAGTTTAGGGATTGAGTCCGTCATAAAGGATCGATGTTTCTATTGACGATAAGGCAGTTCATGTCAAAAGCGAAATCAATTCCAAAGCGATACCGGTATCAATTGTACGCCTGGTATATTATTTTTCTAAAACGGTGATCCTCTAGATCCGAAAGACACCGGCGCCGAGTAAAAGCACGAAAGCTCGATGCCACGAATGCACTTGTTAGACGGATTCCATGGATATCTGGAATGTGCTTGTTGCATTCTCCATTCAATTGCCTTGTCTCAATAAAAGTACAACACATGGTTCCAAGGATGTCAGAAACGGGGAAGGTGAGCGATGAAATGCTAGGTACATGAAATCTGGAGGTGCTATGTGGCTAAGATCTTGGGATTTGATGGAGAAGAGCCGGAGTTAGATGTGCAATAACATGCTGATGGTTTGAACACTCGTCGTTTTATGCACAAACTTAGTCCTGATCCTAGTCCTACATACTATCAATCATGCATGCAATGTTTTCTCCGAATTTAATTCAAATCAATAAATTGTTGTGTACACTCTTAAAAATGTACCCTCTGTTTGAGGCGTATTTATCCATCATATATATATATATATATATAATGGTTCAAAAAATTTCTATCTATTAGACCATAAATCTTCCAACACACTATCCAAATTGAAGAAGAGTCAAATCAAACTCTTTTATGAATGCAGATGCCTACAAGGACTTGAAATGTTGTAAAAACGGTATATCTGTTTGAAATGTGAAGTATACTCATATATTCACCATGTGTGTGTGATTTTCTTTTGTTTAAAATGAATTCTCTTCTTCAACGATCTCTTGATAAGACTTTCTACTCATTTTTCATAAGTTTACGTAAAAAGTTCAATAGCCTAACACAAATTAGCACTAATTTACAAAAAATCCAATAATCTTTCACAATATCCATATGAAATATGGATAATTTTTAAATGCTTGTTCGTCGTACATACTTTTTCCAAAAAATTCTTTCAAATAATAGAATGTATAATTTTTTTGTTTTATAAGATAAGAATTCAAATTATTCTTATTTTGATCTACTTTAAATTTCGTTCCTTATGAACAATTATACTGGTGTTTATTCAATGCTTAAAGTAATTCAACAACCATCCTACGATCATGATGATATTTGAAAAAAATGAATTTTTTTTAATTTAATCTCTGTTTCATACTATTATTATTACTGATATAATCTGTTAGAATGTTGACAGGTGACAGTAACATGCTTTCTTGCTCACCTTTATATCAAAAATTATATATATCCAACCTGGTACAATATATCTACACATATGTCCGTGGAATTTCTATCTTCCTGGTGTGTCCGATGCAAACCATGAGGGCTCAATGGATTGTCAATGTTCACATTCTACTCAATCTATTCTTAGAAACTTTATGAAAGTTCGTATCCTTTTATTATTACAAATCAAATACTAATTATTTGGTATGTCAACCCTGATGTGGTTATTCACATAAAAATATAATAGAAGGTGGCCAAGTTGAGAACTCCCCGATCAACTAGATCAGGAGTTCTCAACTTGGCCACCTTCTCAATGTACAGAATAAGGTTTTGTGCATGACCTTTGTTTGAATTGATAGTGACATAAATTCTGCAGTCATGAGAATTTTTCATTAATGTCAGCCTTGGGGTATTTCCAGTGACATCAATGCATGGAAGTAACAAAGTACCACATTTTATTTATATATCCGTTCACCAAGTTGTTTCAAATTGTGTGCATGTTGTTTTGATTCTATGTAACAAATTCATCGTTGAGTTCCTCAGCTTGCAGTGGGTATTAACTCTGAATAGTCATTTGGAGTTTAGTATCTACACGCTGGTTATTGACATTCCAAACTCCTCCTTGGGGTTTGCAAATTGACGCCAGCGTACTTCCTTCATGTGTACATACATTCATTAATATAACTGCAAACCCATATATCTCCACCTCATTTGTCATACATGTAGATATAAGTGTACGTCCCTCTCTCTATATATCCACTTCCAAAAATCGTCTTTGTTCATATGCCTGCATTCACATCCGAGAATCGTAAGAATTGGTACGATGCTCCCTGGGCATCGAATAATAAAGTCTGGAATCACGATGCTTTTTTTCGCTATAAAACTTGGTTCTCCTTCATCGTTTGAAAGATCGGATATGGTTCATTTTTGTCGCCATGGACTCGAACTTTCTGTTCGTAAAATACAACGTCCGAGAAGTAAATACGAAAATGTATCCATGCGCGAACGGGTCTCGACTTACAGTACAGATCCCACAGCACTCGCCATACTGTACTCACTTGCTACCACATGACCTGCGGATCGCAAGTCTCCGACATCCAGAAGTTCCATAAGCCCAGTGAGACGCCGAAATGCCGGAGTGGACTAACTGTGCTAAAGACCGGACGACCAGGTCGGAACTCGGCGTCTACTGTAATACTGCTGCGAGGAAGTATCAATGGTCCGGCGGTCTAACAACTGTTTCCATTCAGAACTCAGTTACTCGGGACTTGAAGAAAAGAATGATCGTCATGTGACACTGTGTTTAATGCTAGTGTAGAGCAACATATATCCTTTCTTCCCCTGATTATTTCAATATCTCTTGACTTAAGAAATTGAGGAAATTCGGAAAAGTATGCCGTATGTATCCAAGTATTTTGTTTTTCCTGCCTAAAAAATAATGCACTGTATGTTTTGGTGGGGGAAAATTGAGTTGTATATTGTATGTCTAGTAATGAAGATAGTGATAATCTTTGTCTTCACCCGCACTGTTCAACATTAGAAATATGAGGCCGAATGTTCAACGCTGACGGAGTATATTGAGATCATCAACTATAGATAAAGCCTGGATTTGAATAAATTCCGTATGAAATGGATTCCCAGGGTAGTTTTCTTTGATTCCTATATATTTAATCGAGCCACTTAATAATGAAGAGAAATGAAGTCATAGTCATGAGGAAAACACATGATTAGGTCCTCATGTCACCTCCGGTAACCACGGCAAAGAAGATAATAAGAAGGAGAGGGTGAAAATGAAGAAAACTGCATACGTATATTTCATTTTGGACCACAGGCACCTGTGATGTTCAGGACTTTGCCTCACCTGATTGAAGGAAATTACTGCGCAAGAGAGCAATGACAATGAATTGACTGTTCCTCGGCGTCTCCTTGTTTCTTGCACTCCTAGGTAAGGCCTACACTCAAAACCCTAACATTGTGGGAGAGACTACTCCGGGTGCTCCAGCAATGAATATGTGTGAGCAACACTTTTTGGAAGCCTCGCGGACTCTCATTAATCTAGCACTAATAGGGCACATTTACTAAACTGGGTTCCCACATTAGCTTGAAATTATTATAAACGGATCTAAAATGTACATAATCATAGGTTTATAATGAGCACCATTGTGAACTTTTATAGCTGTGAGCGACCAATTTCTCCTGAGTAATGACATTGGGGATTTCTTGGCATTTCTAAACCCTCATATATTTAGTATATTTTTCCCTTATTAGTGTGATATATTTTCAAAACCCTCTAAGTTTGTTAAGAGTTTATGAGAATGCAATTGATCTGAATTAGTTGATACGCTGTAATTTGGCAACACTCTAATGTAACGTATGGACCTCCGTTTATCATCCACTACCCTTCGAAGGACTACGCAATATCCAATTTAGGATTCAATATTTAATTTATATCCGAATGAATACAGCGTTATTCTGCTTGCATAGGCATGTTTGCGGATCCAAGTTGGACGAAGTCATGGTCGCGGTCGATGGTCATGTTATGCGGCTAACATCCTAAAGTCAAATTCTTCCATCCCGTGGTCATGACAAGATGACACGTCTACTCTCAGGAGACATTTCAAAAGCGCGAGGAATGCGTACATCCATCTACTGTACGTCGGGAATGGATGTGCATTCGGAACTTCAGGCGAGGATGACCGTTATGGGAGAACGGTCCGGCCTCGAGTCCGGACCGAACGAGGAACACTAACTTCGGTTCGGTGGGTTAACCCGGAGTCAAATCCCGGAGTCCGCAGAGTGGTGCGAGATCCAGTGCCTAAGTTCATCTAACAGCTTCCGAAACGACACGTGGTGAGGAAGAGGCTAAATCGGCGTGGGACAACGTACAAAGTCCGCCGTGAATCCGAGAATATTCGCGGCACCATCCCTCGCCGCTCGCTCGCCGGTCGCCCGTCGTCGCGCGCGGTCTCGGGACCGTCGGGTGGGCACAAGGGGCTGTCCCGCACATCGAGAGAGGCGCGGGCCAATGGCCGTCGCTCCTTCTCCGGACTATTCTGGATTTCGGTCAGGACAAGAGTCACGGAGTTCCTGAGAGGGACTCCTCCGCCGCGAGAGTCCGTAGGAACCAGTTCCGCATGCGAGGCGAGCCTTGGGACTCCGCGCGTCCTTCCGTGATACTGCTGCGACTCTGGAGGTGAGAGAGAGAGAGGGCTTGGAGGAGGACGAGGGAAGGGAAGGGGAGGGGAGGGGAGGGGATGCATGGAGGAAGGAGGAGGAGAGCGAGACTCGCTGCTTGCTTTGGTTGGTTGGTTGCGGCACAGTGGTAGTGGTAGGGGAGGGCGAGTTTGAGTGGAGAGAAGCGAGAGAGAGAGAGAGAGAGAGGGAGAGGGAGGTCTGTCTGGTGTGTCTGTGTCTTCGGAGGAGGAAGAGCAAAGCAGCAGAGGAGCAGAGGGCAGGAGCAAAGAGCAAGACACCAGCTGGGGCCTTGCTTGGCTCTTGGGAGGAAGAAGAAGAACACGGTAAGAGAGAGAGCTCCGAGAAGAGAGCAGCACCTCGGGAGAGAAGAAGGGGATGAATGAATGAATGGATGAATGAATGATCGGACACGGAGTTGCCAAAAGTGGAATTTGCGGTCGTGAATGCGGTGGTGCGTTGTTTTCGTTGCGTTGCGTTGCGTTGCGTCGGGCATGGTGTGACGGGGTAGATAGCCAGGAGTAGGACAGCAGAAGAAGAAGAGTCTTGGGAAGTTCCCGTGTGCGTCTCTGCTGCTGCTGCTGCTCTCGCTCTCGGTTGCCTGAGCACCTCGTCGAGCCCGAGCAGCGTGCTCGACGCAAGAGTGCAAGGCATCCCGCGAGCGAGCGAGCCTGTGAGTGCGGGATTCCGGATTGCTGACGACCAGCGATTGTATTGAAAAATTCAGGAAATCAAGAAGTGCTGCGGCAGCCTCCAGGGTCGGAGCGGAGGTGTCAATTCAGGAAATTTGGAGCTGCGACGATCGGTGGGCGGTGAGCGGGAAGGGCGGGGCGCAATTGGGAGAATCGGCAGCCCACGGGCGTCCGTGAACGGGTGGATGGTGGTCGAACATTGTCAAGCGTGGTAGGAGCAGTAGGGGCCCGGGGTGCTTGGCGCAAATCGGTGGATGATGGTCAGTCGGGAGCTCGTCTGGGTTCGATAGCTGCAGTTTCAATTCGAGTGCCGGTTCAGTCATTGTCTGAGTCTCCGGACCACAGGGCGGAAGATGTCGGTGGGGGAGTTCTTTTCTGTTTGCTGAGGCCCCCTCTGGCATTCAGGACTCCCGACTGATCGACCCAAATCGTCCTCGAGTGTCCACTGTCGGGGGCTGCATCCCTTCTCAGTGATCCAGGCCCGTGCTCGTGATCTTGAACGTTGTGGGGGGCATCGTGTCGACGGAGGATTGTGGACCGACCCCTTGCGATCATAGCTCTGCAGCATGGGAAGATGATTGAAGCACCGGGGCAAGTTGCGGGCGTTCCAACCGGAGTGGTCTAGGCCGAAGGTCGTGCCCGAGGGGCCGATACGGGGCGGGGTCGACGAGGGCGGTGGAGCTGCTTGCATCGGTTGATCATCGGCGGATTGTGGCGGGCAGAAGGACCGGCACCCGGCTTCCAGGTCCTCTGTGTGGTCTGAGGAACACACCATGGAGAACTGGCGGAATTATTTTGAGAGTTCAGGGGCGGATATATGGACTGTCATAGACAAGGCTATCGGAGTGGCTGCTGCGGATTTCCCCCAAGAACTTCGATTGCGGAGGGATGGGTTGACGGAACGGATGTACACGGCCCATCTTTTGCACCTGGGTGACCATGACGATGATGTTCATCCGCGTGGATCAGATAAGACGAATGCCACCAGTGGAGTGTATACTCGGGACGAAGAACAGGACGAGGAGAACGATGACGAGCCGCAGCAGCGTCATCGAAGGGATAATGACGACGACGCAGCTAGAGATATGGTCAGGGACTGCCCTCTGCACGACGAGAGGGATTTGGTCGCCGCTCTGGATGAATGGGACGTAGAATCTTTGCACGTGAAGGAGATATTGGCCATCAAGGAGAGCATTCAAGACATGGACCAGGTTCCCATCTCCCTTCAACTCAAATACTCGCGAGGACAGATGATTCTTTCTTTGATCACCCGATTCTCTTTCAAACCATCACCTGCGGGCACTTCTTGGTCATGAAGTCCTCCAGTGTGTATATACGAAGTACCGTCTTCTCGGTCCATGCCTGCTGATACCGGGAATATGTCTTTGGTATCGAGAATATTTTCGTGCTTTACGCGAATGCCCATATCTTATAGGTCATCGTCATTTTCATGCCACGGAGTCCAAACCATGGAGCAATTTCATGAGACTCCGCTGCTGGAAGTCGTGTTTCGAATTTGTCTGTACCTTTGTCCGATCCAAGCGGTTATATGCGCTGACTTCGTACTAAGTCGGGTGATCGCTTGTGGATTCTCTCGATTATATTGATAATGAGGTTAGATTAAATCGACCGCTGGATTCTCTTCCGCCCTTGACCAAATTGATGCGAATTGGGAATTACCCCCCTGCCTCTAGGTGGGTAGTTGTTTATGGTGACTTGGTCAACTTTTGAACGGACCGTGAATTGATCCATTGTCTGGGCCGTACCCTTAAGGCCTGAACAAGCTGCCAAGTCGTGTATGTTTCTGTAGCAGTAATTTCACGGAAATGAAGCTCGTACAATTCCAGCGAGTGGTCGGAAGGAAGAGAGAGAAGGGATGAGAGGGAGGGTTGAAGAAATATTTCCGATTTCGCTAACTAAGCTCCCATGTAATTGGCGAATGCAGCCCGAGTCAGAAATGCTGGATCAGCTCCAAAAACTGGAGTCTCTGAACATCTCTGTCGATATGCTCGAGGTACAATTCCTGTCCGATACCTCAATTTCAAGTCACGGCATCAGTGGCGGACGTTTATGCCTGCTTTTCTGTTTGAAGTTGAGTTCTATTCTCTTATCGAAGAACATCATGTGACATACAGAGGACGCAAATCGGCAAGGACATCAATGGATTTCGGAAGCACTCATCCAGGCGCGTCCGGGCCATGGCGAAAAGGATCGTCAGGTAGTTTGCAACCACTTCTTTAACCTAAGCTTCCCAGCCCTTCAAAATTTTGGTGATAAGTTTGTGCTCTGGTCAGTGCACCAATGAAGTTTTGAGATACAGACAGTATTTTATGCAATTAGCGGACCCTTCGAGTAAGCATCAGGGACTATCCGTGGAAAACCCTGGCGTGATTTTATCACTGTTAATTATCTGTTAACCAGTCTTTATTCCGCCATCTTTATATCCGTCTTGGGAAATACCCTACTACGAGCTTATTAGAATGAATCCTGCTAATCTAAGAGTTGTACTAGTTTGAAATACTCAAATAGTGAAGATCAAGACTCCTCGATGATCCTCCTCTCAGTAGTTGTGTGGATCTTTGCCTCTACAGGTCATGGAAGGAGCTTGTAGACGATTGGGTTAAATCGACTGAGAGTCAAGAACCTCTTCCTTTGAGCAACGGTACGTGCAGATCTTTCGTGTACAATATTTAGGTTCAAGTTTACACTTCTCAATCAATGTTGTGATAAAGTATTGCAACTTCTTGAAGACTGGAAGATGGTCGAGGGGTATATAATCTAACTTATGATTACATTGATTGTCTTACTCAGGAAATTATCACCCAGAGATGGGTGAAGAAGAAGAGGGCTTGCCCTCGCCCCCTCTGGATGCGGGTGCGCTGTTGGCGGCCCGAACCGCCTCTTTGGAGATGTCTCATGTAAGGAGCATTGTTTATAATCAAGCTGGGGTTTTTGCCAGTGTCTGCACCTGCATTAACTTGCTTTTGTGTGGGCCCTCGTTTCTTCCATTCCACGTGTGGTAATGTAATGACACTTAACTAACTCAGCCTGAATCCTTTGTGGTTTTCTTCTGTGGTGCAGTTTTTCGACTTCGACGACGACGATGTTTGTAAGTTACACATACCCTCCCCGAAGCTACTTTTGTGTTGTTCAAATTTGGTCAGGATCGCTGAAGGTGGGAACATGGAGCTGACACTTCTTTCTTGTTTTACTTTGAAAAGCAGCTGCAGGGTCTGGCCCGAGTCCGCCAACTTCAAACAACCTGTCGGATGAGTTTGGCAGCCTTCCTGATACTCGTAGAAAGAATGACAACACGGACCGCCGATACCAAGGGACGAATATATGCAGTCCCGCTCAGGAGCATGATTCACGCGCGCCCAAAGGTGGTCCTGGTATTCACAAAGTCGATAAGCATCGGCCTGTGGCTGTTGAGAGACACGATGTCAATTCCCGAAACGTTGTCGCCTCCACCAACAATTTTCGAAAGCCACCAACCATGTCGAATGGATCAAAGCCTGCGAATGGGAATGCAGTTCCCAATAGGCCAGCCAACGGTTATTCTCAACAGAAGCCAAACAACGATTACGTAAGGAAACCAGAGTCGAGGCCAGCTTCCAATGTGCCTACCACGAAACCAAAGGCGGATAGCTTGAAACCAGGCTTGGCAACTGTAAATATCTCAACTGGGCTGACGAATTCTTGCATGAAATTTGAACTTGTGTTGAGTCCTGGTACTTCTTGAAAGTAGTCTGTGTAATTCTGGTTATTGTTGTATTATATTTCCCATACTCATCGATGTGTTCAATCCGCCATCCTCATGCAGTAATTATCCCGAATCTGAAAATGGCCTGTTGGCTTTGTCGCAGAAACCAAAACCTCAGGGAGAAATCGATGTCTCTCAGAAACTTTTGCTAGCAAAGAGAAAACTCCAAGAAGGATATCAGCAAATTAATGAAGGTGAGTTTTGATAATGAATTGTGTTCATATTTCCTTGGCTGATGGGTTTGTACTATGCTAGTCCCTCTCCGCTGCGATAAACCTTTGGGAGTTCATTTACGTCTGCTCATGACTGGTTCAAGACTTAAGGACACTGTATGGTCATTCATATGCTTACGATCATTCAATCACCTGAACATGTCTGCTTGAACTCCCTCACCGCATTACTGATTTCTTCTTGTACGACTGTTCAACAGCAAAGAAACAGCGTACGGTACAAGCACTCGACTTGACGGACCTTCCTAAGGGTGGGCCCAAGAGTGCAAGGTTTCCTCAACCACATATGAAGCCGGTTCAAAATCGAGGGTGGGCGAACGGTCGGAGGTAGAGACAGGCCACAACGACTTCGTGTGACCCAAGTATTGGGTTGTCCCTGAAGCACGAGAGGCTACTCTTCAGGGATCATTCACGCAAGCAGTGCGAGTGTACAGTTAGGCGGAAAGTACATTACTGGTGCATGTGAATACAATCACATGAAAGAAACTGAGTGCCACTAGTAATGACTTGAGTTTTCTTAAAAAATTTATTGCTCAGCCGGAGGGCAACATTTGTGTTTTTGGAAGAAACGTTGCTGAGGTGTGAGCTATGTAGATACAACAGATTTTGCCTGAAACCTCTCATTACTAGAATAATTTTTGCAACACTGCTTGTCAGTCCGGACCAATATTGTGCGGTAGCTCTACTCAGGTCTGACTGCTCCTAAGTTTTCGTCAGATTTTACTTCGGTACTTCAGTCTGTGGACAAGTCCAATCGACACGTCTGTGAATCCCTTATGGCCCTCTCCACTCTGTAGTTGCTCCTTCTTCGAATAAGTAGGCCTTACTGCAGTAAGTCAAGGTACTCTTGTTCTCTCATCTGATCATCACTACTTAGATATAGTGTGGTCTGCCGTAGATAATCGCTTGGATGCATTATCTACTTAGTCACGGGCGGTCAAAGCCGCAAGTCTCTTTTGTCACTGGAAATCTTCTTAGTGTGGGAATTGCTACTTGAGTCTGCTATCCCCACTTGGCCGCCAAAGTGCGAGTTTGTACAAGTGAACCAAGTGAAGCTGAACGGTGCTTCCAATAATCGAGTTATCCAAGTACTCTTACTTGCAAGTCTGTGTCTAAATCGGGTGATCAACCTACCGTTGGATTATTATGTAATTAAAGTTCTTGCCTGAATGGTCAATTTGCAGAATATGAGGAGCCTACATTCTTGTAGTAAGTATATGGTACGTGATATGTCTTCTCATCTCATGACGACATTCACGGTGGGCACCAACGCTTCTACACCAAGAAGTTTCTAATTTCACGAATTGTCGATCAGCGAAAGTATGCGAAAGGTCTCACTCTTGAGAAGAAAAATCTGGGCTGACGGTCGAGGGGAATCAACGGCTCCGTATATTGTGGATGCGTTTGAGTTGGCCATATGAAACTGACAGTCCTCGTTTGGGGAGGAAAAAGTAATCCACTGTACGAGAGTCTACGCTGCTCCCATCTCCAATCAGTTTCGACGACCACGAAAATGATGCATCGCTTACATAGGATGTACATCGCTTTGCCAGTCTCAAGTCCGGGAATTGGTCAAACTTGGCGTACGCTAGTCGCGTGCAGGAGACGTGAACGCATTGCAAGTTTCAGAAACAACTCTCCCACTTTCGAGAGATGTAGTGATGAGCTGTCACCGTAGACCCACAGGGAGCATGTGGCCAATCTGGATGTCGGGTTGTCGACGGAACGGCCACATCAGATTTAGGTGGAATTACCAGGAGAAAAAGTTATAATAAAATATGAAGAATGGATTCTTGTCTCGTCGATACGAGGCAATAGCACCACCGGGTGCGACGAGACGAACCATGCGCAGGTAACGTGATTCACATGTTAGCTGGAGATATTATCCAGTGAGGTTTAGTTCAAAGGTGAAAATCAGAATCAGTTGACGGATTGTCGGTAAACTTTGCAGCTTGGTAAAGATGTTAACCTCGAACACCTGTACGACGAAGCTGATTGATGTCAGACTTCACACTTCATGCTCTATGATGATGACACATGCGCTGCTTCCAGCTTCTGAACTTAGGAAGATGCAAGATAGGAACGTTTTGGGTGATGAAGATGCTCTCCGTTCCAGAAGTGCTAGACTGCAGTGTTTCTAAACCTTGTCAAGATGCCGGAACTTCCGGCTAGAGTGATGGACAACCAGTCTGTCCAGAAACTTCGTGCACAGTTGAAGGGAGGCTACATAGTTCCTGGAAGGACAACAGTGTTGGAATTTTCAGGTTGAAATGTTTCATACATTCCTGACTTCAAGAGCAAGAGCTTGCTCGGACACTACCATTAATATTGATGGCTATTCTGTTCTCAAAAGGGACGAATCCTGGTTACAATGTTGCAGGAGGTGGACATATGTTCGTGATTCAGCGAGTGGAGAAGTAACTAACTCAGAATCCCGGTTTCGAGGATCGAGTGTAGCAGTGAGATCCTTGTATACATGGACCTCTCAGATGCTGTTTGGTTGTTTAATGCTAATACGACGAAGTGGAATAGTAAAAGAATCCCTCCCTTTGAGTACTTGAGGACATGGTGGAAATCTGACATTGGTGGAAGGTTCTTGGGCACTGTAGCTGATTTCAGAAGGAAAAGTTTCTCCAGCAAAACTCTAATTAAAATGAGAAATCCATTTTGACAAAATTTCTTATACAGTACCGTAAACTTAACAACAGAGGACGGTGAGAAAGTTATGATTCTTGTAGTTGTTCTAAAAGATCAAGACACTGACAGACATAAGCTTAAGCCTTACCATCATACCTCTGAGCTGGATGAGGTTTTTGTCTGGGGTCCACAGTCATGGACCAAGAGGGCTGTGCTTTTGATTAACAGAGTAGACACGAGTTTTTACTAAACCTAGCATCAGGTAATTCTTGGCGATGAGGTCAACGATGAGTAAGTGTGTGAACCTGTCTAGCTATTTCACTTGAAACAGTAGTGAATACATTTGTCATGATTGGCGTTTCCAGTTTGTTCACATTCCAGAACTCAACCGTCAAATTCTGAACCTTTGAGAAGATTCAGAAGGTCACTGGTAGTTTCCTGAACGAAGGAGCAGATATGACCAGACCAACGATGAAGGAACTCTTATGATTTACGAATGCGGTCCGACTTCAACAAATTGTTATTTAAAAAGAACGCGGAGCCTTTATCATACAAGTAATATGAGGATGAATAACGTCCACAAGTGCGCGTAAACTGCTGAGGGCAAAAGCCCAGAGGAAATTCAGTGTCTACTCTGCTCTGAGACTATCGAAGAACTGGAGCGAGTAGCATCGCTTGGGCGGATGAAGAATCCATGCGGAGGATGAAGGTACACCACAAGGGGCCAACCACCCGGGCTAAGTCTTCAGCATGTTTACACAGTTGTTGACATTGAGAATTTCCAATTCCGAAGTGTAGCTTCGATTCACCGCAAGTAGCACCTTTCAAAAAGGTCCTTCTACGATGGAGTTGACTGGTTTCAAATTCTAGCTGGCAGTGTGCTAATCGTGTCAACAGTTATTACGAGGAACTCTTTGCCCACACACTCACTGTTTTCGAGTTGTCAAAGTTGTAGGATACTGTTGTCATACAGATCTGATGGAAGTGCAGGTCTATTTAAGTGTTAAAAGGACAAAATGGGACTTGCACGTAATTGTGAGTGTCGAGAGCGAGACGACTACTGGGAATGTGCAAACTGCCGAGCGCAAGAGCGTTCAAGGGTATTGCCTTCTCCACTCCCTCATTCATTCCCTGTTCACTGCACCAACACAGTTTTGCAATCTCCGTCCTTTTCGTTTGGCAGTTTTGCAGGTTCGGTTACAGCGTTTTCATATGACAGAAGGTGCTCCCTGTTCATTTTTGTTCTGTGACTCGACAACGGGGCAAACTGCTACTGTGAAATTGGTTGGTGTTCTGCATTCCAGGCCTTCCTTATTGAAAATCGTGGAGCAGGCACGCCAATCGCCACCAGGAGAAGTCAATGCATGTGTCGCAGTAATTCAAGTCAGAATTCAGTAACTAAAAGGATGGGAAGACCCCATCAATCCGTACATGGATGAAACGAGATGTTACTAGGCCCCATGATCGGATATATGTCCACTGAATATAACTGATACAACCTATCTTGCTCTCACGGAGGTTGACGTGAAAATACACCCTTTCAGGAGATAGCCAACGCATCCTTGAGTACATGCTCATACTAAGTAATTTACAACTCTTGGATTCAACAGCAAATCATATAGACGTATGTTTCATCCAAAGTAACACCAAACCCACACAATTGAGACATGAGAAACTTGTTACTAGTGAAGAACTAAACGTACGAATCAATCCAAGGCGAACTGCTTACCGCTGTAGAAAATACAATTGGTGCAAATTGCAAATCCAGTGATTTGCATGGGTGAACATACATGAACATGCATAAGTTTCAGAGCAGTAAAGATGAGCTCTAGTGACTTATGCGTTTGATTGAACCCAACAAGAAGTAGTCCGTCCCTTGAAATACACACTAGACCTCTAGTTGAATTGATGGACAAATAATAATATCAGAGTTCATGTTGATCATCATGAGGAGAAAAGACCTCATTTTAGAAGGAGAGTTCAATGTTTAATTATATTGGATTTGAATGCAAAAACTATGCAACACGGTAATGTGGATAAGAATTTTTCCGCATGACCGTGTAATTTGGATTTCCATTCTGACATATTTCACAAGTTATATGATAATAATGTGTGAATTGAACATAAAGAGTATTTTTCTTTATAAATCTCTCCATTCTTATTGATAATGACCAACCAATGAAATGATGGAACAGAAAGCAAGTAAGCTTGTAGATTGGACGTTTATGCTACAAAAATACTGATTCACTGTTAAACATAAATGCAGAGTGATGGATATTGACATGAATGTTAGAATAATACTCACGTTTAAGTCAAGTTGATGATGTTGGAGATTGCAACTAGTGAAGAGAGGATTGCTTTAAGAATGATAATTTCTACCATTGTAGGATGTGAAAATCATGTATGTTGATAAAGCTAAGTATGTATTTCACATATAGAATAAATTAATACATTGCAGCTTTGATTAATTATATTATGTAAGTATGAGCAGAAACATATATTGGAGATGGTAGCACAATACCAAACAATCACGACCAATCTATGAATAAAACAAGATGGTGGAATCTTTTAAATTCAAATGTATTCATTTAAGGCTATGGTTCTGAACAGAATGTTTGTGGACATTTTGGAAGAAGAACTCCGGTCAGTCTTGTATGGCAATACATTTATTCTCTTGTTTGATACATAATTGTATCAAACAAGAGAATTCGTTCTAATCCAATAAGTTTGTGCACTATACGACAAGAATTTACCTATTAGAACCGAGCTGGACAAATTGGCAAACTTCAAGCGAGCAAGGTCATAATGTCATAAGCACTGCAAATGTGCAGAAAACCTCCAAATATGCTCCAACCCAACATGTTGTCCAAACGTGATTCTTGTCACTTCAACTTCAACGTTCTTATTTGCGAATCAACATAAACAGTTATACCTACTTGATACTCGCTTGACATGGATGAGAATCAATTTTCCTGCTTTGGGAGCTAAACTGTTCATGGCATGAAAACCGCTCGAATCCGCCTCCTTGTTGGTTTGCGCTGCATAGGAAAGATATAAGCTTCACAAGGGTATTATTTAATATTCTCTCTTAACTCGTTGGCCATCGCTGTAACGAGCACCACTAAACTTGCGGTAGTGATCTGGTAGAAATCATAGAAAAATGTCGTTCTCTCAGTAGAGGGAAAAGAATGTTTAGCGAGTGAAAGAAAATAGAGCTTTTCTGCTTATGATACCTCAAATTTATTATTGACCGACTCAATGAATGGACGAAAGTGACATAGATCGACAACTTGTCCTTCTCTCCGACACCCAAAAGTATATTGTAGGTGCAATCAAGAAGAGGCGATTTTCTTCTCATGGACGGCAATCGAATTGTGTGCGTACGCATATTACGCAAGAGGACTCCAGCAGGTACGTTGTCGTGGGTCATTCTCGAGCCCTCGAGGGAGCACATCCACTGCAGGCGGTCGACATTCGCAAAAGTCTCGCAGTAAATCATTGAGTTATTGCGCTATTGCCATTCGGGTCACTGTATGCGCAAGGAACACGAATTATAAAGTGTATCCGGGAGTGCCAGGAGCCCGCAGGTCATGTCAGCAAATCATGCCGTCGCTTAATACCGACTCGACACTCCTCGGGTTCGCGATTTTAGTGACACGACTCTTCGGGATCAGAGTTCGTGTTAACCCGGGTTAGATCAGGGCCCGCGAGAGTAAAACCTCCCGAAGCTCAAATTATCTTTTCCGGGAGCTTGTCGTTGAGATAGGAAATAGACCGAAATTTAATCGTGGCGGCGAAATTAGGGAGCACCACCGCGGGGCTTGACGGCTCGATGGGGCGCTCCGTGGCTCGTCGGGATATTCCGAGGCCTTGGGAGATACTATTTCGGTGGTCGCGTCGGGGGAGCGACCGATGCCGGGCCCGGGCCGGGGCCGGGGCGGGGGCAAACCCTAACCCTAAAGAGGGACCGAAGCAAGGCCCGGGGGAGCGTGCCCAGGTGTCGTCAGGGGAGGGGGCAGGGCGCGCAGGGCTGGAGCATTGGGAGGGAGGCAGGGGCCAGGGGCCAGAGAGGAAAAAGGATTTTGTACTTTTTCGGGACTTTTTCGATCGAGGAAAGTCCGAAACCCTCGGCTGGCGATGCAGGGCATCGGTGCGCTGCTGCCTCCCACACATGAAAGGATCACTGGTTCTGATCCACACTCCTCCTCCTCCTCCTCCTCTCGCAATCTGCTTTTGAGGTTTTTGAGATTTAAGATTGCAACAGAGCAGCGTGCCAAAGTAGAATGGCTGCGCTGTGGAGGGGCATTGCACGATCTGTCGCTGTTGCGGGAGAGGTGCGGATGATGGCGAGTCTGCCGGGGTTCTGTCTCTCTGGCCTCCGCTCCAGCGGGTCCCTGTCTTCAAGTGCTTCTCCCTTCTTGGTGTATCGGCCCCTCTCTGCTCAGGTACGTACGAAGAAATGGATCAGGCGCTTTCGGGAATGCGGAGTGCTTGCACAGATGTGAGAAATTGGAAGAGATTGTGCTGTTTTCCCCTCGGATGCCTTGGCTTCGGTGTTTCCTGGCTGTGGTAGTCGCTCAAATCACTGCATTAGGACGGCCGTAGGCACAGGGCCCGAAGGGATGGTGTTTTTGAGGGCGTAGGATGTCTCCATCTGTCATTCGGTGCACGCCAGATTTGGAGATTGGGCCTTGCATTGTCGACACTACGATAGATCGGTCCCAATTACAAAATTGTAGGACAGGTGACCATTAGTCCATGCAGGGTAACTGGTTGGGCTCTACGCAACACACGCACGGATCTTTGCATCTCAGAGGTCTTCCTCGCGTTCCTTTTCAAGGGATTCCGAGAAATGGAGCAGGCGGGATCTCAGCGTCTTGCGTAGAGCTACATACATACACTAGCATATAGATATAGATTGATTCCTGAGATTTGACAAAGAGCTCTTGTCTGACCGAGTGCAGTGACAAATTGCTGCCGAGCCTTCATACATTGCCTTTTCACCGTGACCACTTCTTGACTAATGAGTAGCCGCAATTCTTCATGCGCTTCGCAGGTGACCTTGAGCACAGACGCTAACCGACAGCCGTCTGTGTTTCAGCCACGCTCCGCGCAGTATGGCAAAGTCGCCTCCGTTGACAAATTAGGGGAGGAGCCTTCTACTTCCTACCGGGCCCGACCATGGGAGTCAAGCGCTCCATCCAGGTATAATCCGCCTTGAAACACTTCTTCCCGTTCCTGTGTGTACGTTCCAAGTGGTTTCACCGAGACGTGCAAGATTGATAGCGCCTGATATTATTGTAGGTTTTTCGACATACTAATGGTCTCTTCCTCGACTTGATTCGACTGCAGGCGTAGGACTGATAATTATCAGGAAAGATCTGCAGAAAGATCAGCCCCACCCTGGAAGCGGAATAACTACCGGTCAGTAGCATCTCCCATGCTTCTAGTTGCGCGTTCTGTCCATCTAACGAGTATGGGCACTGGTGGTTATGTTTTAATTGTAGGGATAGGGCCGGCCGCTTGCTCTAGAGTTTTGCTGAGGTTGCTGTACTGGGATGGAGTTCAATGTTTATCTACTCTAAATCTGATCTGTACCACCGCTCACAAAGCTCAAGCACTGGTCGAGCACTGCGGTCTGCCTGTTTCTCATTAGCAGTGCCCATCTGTCCTTCTCACAGGGACTCAGAGAGGGGGTCAGCGATGGCGGAGAATGGTCAGAGCAATCGCAGGTTCGGCAATCTTTCGATCAAAAATCGAGGGCCGCCTACCAACGGTCATGCCAATGGCCATGTCAGCGACTTGCTCGAGGTGGCTGAGGTGAGCTTCGCGGCCTTTTTCGCCGTTACCACTGGATGTGGGGTTTGTTTGTTTACTGTGTCCATCTGTTAGTGTACACGCCGATGTCACAGTTTCTACATCCTCTCATAACGTACTTGTCAGTGTGCTCCACTCGAAGAACCCAGTTTTTTACTCTGATTTGCCACGTTCCTGCGTGGTTGTAGGTAATTAATGTAGATAACTGACAAGTATATCGTTGCCGAATCTCGTGGGTTGTATGTATTTGGAATGCTGCCCCTTTCATTAAGTACTAAAGCAGCGAATGGATTCCAATTTGATAGAGTTTTAGGTTTCTGACTATCACTATTTTTCCAGCCGCAACGAGACAGCCTTTTCACCCCATACCGCATGTCTCGGGAATTCAGCTCGAGTGCTCTTCTCGATGCCGATGCTGATAGCGATGGTTCTGACATGGACGTCGACGCTTACAAGAAACAGCATGATGTGACAACCTCTGTAAGTCTTCTTCATCATATTAAGGGATCTTCGACGTCGTACCACTAATATTGTTATCCTTGTTCTTAGGGTGTACCTGTGGTGAGCGCTTGAATGCTACTCAGTATGATCTCTTCTGCTTTGCACCTGGGACTTATATGTTCTGTTTGTTTTGTCCACACGTAGGGTAAGGATGTCCCAGACCCTTTTATGACCTTCGAGTCCACTGGCTTTCCTGCTAGTCTGATGAAGGAGGTACGTACCCATCCACTGCTAGTGCTAAATTAGTCTTGCTTGATCTGATCGATTTTTATTGACATTGCTCAGTGTATCGCTTAGCGCGATATTAAATGTTTGTTCGTTTCGCTATCTTGTCGATATCCTGGTATGATAGACTAATGCATGAAAAAATTGTTCCAACAGCTTCAGTACGCGGGTTTCGATACCCCGTCACCTATTCAAGCCCTGAGTTGGCCAATTGCCCTGCAAATGCGAGATGTCGTAGCTATTGCGAAGACAGGTTCTGGAAAAACTCTGGGTTACTTGTTGCCCGCGTTCCTTCGACTGCAAAACAACCGGCCCACGCATCGTCAGAACCCGTCTGTCTTGGTGCTTGCGCCCACAAGGGAACTCGCCAACCAGATCCGCGAGGAGGCTGTGAAGTTTGGGAGATCCTCCAGGGTTATGACCACTGTAAGTATGCGTGTCTTCTATGTATCTCCATATTAGTGTATTCACATGCCTGATGCATACAGTGAAAGAGAGGGCGAGAATTTGATTAGCGATGATACTAATATTTGTCTGGCCTTTCTCGAATCTTTTCAGTGCGTCTGCGGAGGTGCCCCGAAAGGACCTCAGCTTCGCGACATCCAAAGAGGAGTAGACATCATTGTCGCGACCCCGGGACGGTTGAACGATCTCCTTGAAATGGGGGCGGTGAACCTTCAACATGTTTCTTACCTGGTTCTTGACGAGGCTGATCGTATGCTGGATATGGGGTTTGAACCTCAGATTCGTGCCATAGTGGATCAAATGCCCGTCCAGCGTCAAACTTTGATGTATACCGCGACTTGGCCCAAGGAAGTGCGAAAAATTGCTAGAGATCTGATGACAGACCCGGTTCAAGTGAACGTTGGGAACAGTGATCAGCTCTCAGCGAACAAGTCTATCACCCAGGTATGTAATAGACTTTTCACGATCTCTGCAGGCTGAAGAAGTTACCTTCCTGTCGGGTCCGCAGACTACCTTGTCTGACGCTGATCTTGTTGATGAGGACACCTGTATCATTTTCGGGCTAGTCTTGTTCAAAACATTTGTGTCCTTGTTTTTCTTATATCAAGAGGAATGAGTGAACTCTATCTGCTTTCTGACAATGCCAAACAGTGGATGGCATATCACGAGGCTTCCCGCGAGATCATTGATAGAGCACTCCAGGCCTGATTTTTTTTCGTAACGCAACTGTGCAGCACGTGGAGATAGTCTCCCGGTCGAGCAAGGAGAGGAGGTTGGAGCAAATTCTCAATGGTCAAGAGGAAGGAGCAAAAGTTTTGATATTTTGTTCCACCAAGAGAATGTGTGATGAGCTGTCCATGAACCTTCGACGTGATTTTGGCGCTTTGGCCCTCCATGGAGACAAGTCGCAGAGAGAGCGTGACTTTGTACTTCAGCAATTCAAGAGAGGAAAGGCATCTATCCTCGTTGCAACTGATGTTGCTGCAAGAGGATTGGATGTCAAGGACATCAGGTAGGTCATTGTTCTGAGTGAAATACATCGGTTTACGCACTACCTCAAGGTTAATTTATTTCCTGGTCCCTCCTTCAACCGCATGTCCTTTGTTGTCTTTTTCACATATGGGTATTAAGCAACGGCGCTCGTTGAATGATCAAATCACAGGCTCGTCGTCAATTACGATTTTCCTACCGGTGTCGAGGACTACGTCCATCGCATTGGAAGGACTGGTCGTGCCGGTGCGACCGGCATAGCTCATACCTTCTTCTCGAACGATGATTCCAAGCACGCAAGAGAGCTTATCAAGGTTCTTGAAAGCACCAATCAGATAGTCCCGCCCGAGCTCCGACAGATGGGTGGTGGACGAGGTGGCGACAGGCGATCTGGTGGGGGAAGCAGATGGGGTGGTGGCGGCGGAGGTGGGAACCGCAGAGAGGGTCAAGGTAGCTACTATACAGGGAAGAGTAGCCAAAACTCTGGATCCGGAAGTAAGTGGGGAGGACAGGGTGGTGGCCGGAATGACAGGAAGATGGCTTTGTGGTGAATTTAGGTTTAGGAAGTTTTACAAACAGAAACGTAGAGTAGTGAACACAAAATACACTGGCGATTCTTAGGTGCTTTTCACGAGGACAGGTCTAAAAGAAAATTGCAGTTTGGGCAGCCAGAGGATGAGCTGTCGTGGCATATCGGAATCGCGTGTCCTCTATGCTGGGTAGAGACCCTGGCTACACTCTGAAGTAGCCAGTTGTGGTAGAGGTGGTCAACTTCGAGATACTCTGAAGGGAGGAACCGGCGTTATATTGTTAATGGCCATCTTGTGCGGGAAATTATAGGGAACCAAATTTTGATCTGAACCGTTAACTCAGAGGGTGTTTCAAGTCAAAATGTTCTTAGTAGTGTACTTGTATAGTGGGGATAGGCTTGGCACCCCAAGCTGTTATCAGTGGAACATTCGTTAAGAGCATGGATTCCATGCGACTATTAATTCAACTGTCAGTAGTACATGTACCACACTTGGGTTACACTCAGGAAGGAGTAGACGTGACAGAAAGTTACAGGACCTTCCATGTAAAGCATTCAATCAATTACAATAATATGATAGTAGGAGCATTCGGTGATTGTTATGTTGCGCCTCGACGGAGCGCTAATCGCGGTTGTCTTCTTAATATGAGTAAAGTTGTTTTTATTGTTAACAGCTGGTCCTCTTGCACTCAAGGAGGAGGTGTATTGAAGGTCACAGATTCGATTTTTATTCTGGAAACATATCTTGTACCTGTTTATGCGTCTTGTTGGTAGGGTATTCGATATTTGAGAATCAGACGTGTATATATATATATTGATTTTTGACCAGATGTGGAAATATTTGTTCAGCGGTCACTGTGAACCGCTACCGGAAAAGAAGCAAGGGAGGGAATGGGTCTAATTTCTGTTCCTTCTGCTTTCTCCTTACTGTGGTATGTTGTTGCAATTACATTTGAGAAGAGAAGTAATCGTCGTCAAACTTGCTCGGAAACATTCATGTATGAACCCTTTGCATAGTTGATAACGAGATTTTCCTGAATTGTACCTGCAAAACTCTGTTATAATATTTTCTCCAGCTGCATGCATAAAATGATAAAGAAAGTTCAAATGTCAAGTGTAAAAGATGATAAAACTTTCTTCAAACTCTCAGCATCCACATAATTATGTTCAAAATTATTGTATAATATATCACATTAAAACGAAAGAAAGTGATAGTTATAATATAAAATTTTACTACTAGTAATGTACGGTTGGGAAGATATTAGTCAGCTTGAATAAATTATCTTTCACTTCCTTAATTGTATTTGATTAGACCTAGCTTTCTTCATTATATTCACGATAGAATTAATGAACATTAATCTAGGGTGAGGAAAATCAATCGTTACCTTAATATATTATATTTCAAATCTTGTGTATAATGAAAAGTCTAACTTTAATTTTCAAATTACTTTGCTGAAATAATGTGTGTATTTCACAAGTGGAAATATTCTTAGAAATTTTAATTTTTAATTTCCTTGATGAAAATATAGATTAAAATGTATCACTTAATGTATTTTTTTATTTATATTTAATTTACGATTTCTTTCAATGCCAAACAATGACATTGACATAACAACACAACAATGACATATATATGTTAAAGTCACTCGTAAATAAATCATTTTGTAATAAGAAGATACTAGGTATATATCCTTTTTAAGGTATAAGTATGATCAAATGTTCATACTTACATCTCTTATAACAATAACTTCAAAATGACAAAATCTCAAAAGTATGCAAATACTGAAACATTGTACATCCAAGAAAACAAGGTTTTTTATGTACACACATTTGATGCTGATTTTTTGTATTAAAAACACTAAATTCGAAACATTTAAAAACATAATCAATCACAATTTATAATTAAAGAATTCAATTTATAATTCAAAAAATATTAAAGAATATAGTACTTGATGAAAAGAAATTATAAAAGATCTAATAACAACAATGTAAGTATAAAAAATACTTATTAATAGTTGGATCAATTTTGTATGAAACTTGTCTAACACTATTTGCTAAAACCTGTAAAAAAAAATATTGATGAATGTTTAATATTCTGTGTAATATCTTTGAAAAGAACGCAAATTCTTTATTTTTTTTGTCATTACTTCCACATAAATGTTTCATTTTGTGATAATCTTGATTTGAAATTTCAAAACAATTGAAAAATTCAAGGATTTTGATTCCAAACAAATACATACATAACATTTTAATTTAGAAAAAAATTTGGTTTGAAACAGAATTATCACATGTTATTATATAGATAGTCTAATAATTCTTTGTTGTTTGAGACATAGCAAATTAAGATCTATTAAATGTACTTTATCATAAGTAATAGTTAAAACTACTTGATAGTACATCTTGGGAAACTCAAACCTCTTGATGGTACCGAACAGGTTTCATTTACCTGATGGAGCCCACTCGACGGCTATACATCCGTCAATCTTATTCTAATCAAAGTTCTTATAAACCATTTATTCCAATAAATGTTCTTATAACCAACGGAAAGAATCATGAGTAGTAGCAATCTTCTAATACATCTTACTTTGTTTATTTGCTTGTCATGTACATCATCGGTGCAGCCATCTAACATTGATTCCCTACTGCTAGCACATACGCTTAGACACGAGACAAGACAAGATGTAGAAGAAGAATTGTATAGAGAGTCTTCCTTTTATTCGTTCTTTGTTTGTATCAATCAATCAATTAGCCATCAGGTCGTCTTCCTTACTCAAGAATTTCGATTATCGAGGACCGACCGGCCAGATGTTTAGCTTTCTAAGCATGCACTGATTGAATTGAATCATTGAATTGAATTGAATCGGATTGAATCAGAAAGGGAATTCTAAGCTCCAATTGTATTGGAACATCACCGAAGGTGGGTTGCAATGGCAGTCGATAGGGTACCATGGGGTAAAATGAAAATTGTTGGTTTCCATCAAGTGTTTTGAGTTTTCATGGTATACCATCAAGTAATTTACTCTTTATATTTGTAAACACTAACATGTACAAAATTTTATGATTATCTTTTATCATAATATCAAATATTTTCAATCCAAATTATCAAATTTTGATACTTAATTTCACAATATTTTAATCAAGCACTTCAAAGAAAATTTGAATCTTTTATTGAGTATAAATGGAATGAAAATCAATGCACATTTGATTTTTTTAATTTTATTTTTAAAAATACTAAAAAATATTTAAATCAAAGATTTGGAATAAAAACCATAATTCATCTACATTTAACCTACATATATATAATCTACATCTATTGAAAAATTTTATAGTATCATTTTTATCTTCATATTACAAAATGAAATAAATCATGCTTTTAAATATTAAATTCTTGATCCACATGGATCTAAATGAGATTAATACAATTAATTTTCACACAAAAGTTTTCTTAAAATGTTGCTCTATGTGACATTTGCCAAATATCATAGTCATGAGATTTATTAATAGATTTAAATCTATACTTAGATTTCACATTATTTCATTTTTATTTTTATTTTGATGAATGATGTTCATGTAAAAGTCAAACTAAATGAAGAGTATAAACTTGTCACTTTTATTTTTGCTCTAAGTTATCTATCTACCAAAAATTTTCATCCAAGTTGTAAATGAATTTGAAATTTTCTTTGAATAATAATTAATATGAATCTAGTAATAAGTTTAAATAGTAATTTTTTTTTCATATTATTTATCTACTTTTTAAGTTTTTAAAGACCAATCATAAAATATCTAAAGTCATTTTTGCTATTTTTTATCTTTATTCTAGAATTTTCAATTTCAAATAATATTGTATTGAAACACACGTAAAATTCACTAACAAAGTTTTACTGAATTTTTTTCAAATAAAACTTCATAGAAACATATTACATTTTCATACTCATTTACAATTTTTCAGTTTCATAATTGTTAATATAGTATAATGATATTGAAAATGTGATCTTGAAGATTCTACCAATTTTGTTTGTTTAAGCTCACATATATAAGTTTCAATGTCTTGCCTAATACTTTCATAGAAATTAGGTGTACTTCATTGTAGAAGAAAACTGAAATTGTAGGTTGACTATCTATCGTAAATTGGAACTTAAATTGTCTAATGTTTTCTAAATTGTCATATGTCTTTGCCCATCACGACGACATCTTTCATTTTAGACAAATCTTTCTTACACTACTTCTAGAAGTCATCAAGAAAGATGAAGAAGTGAGTTAGTGAACTCTTTCTTTGTTTAAGTTTTTTGGAATTTTCCTAATCTCTTTGTACTTCCATTATTTCGTTGGCTTTGTGTCTTTCACAATAGCATTATTAGATCCCTCAAGTGTTATCTCATTGTACTGCTTTGTTGTAAACTAACATAACCTTATTGTTCCCTTGCATCTTCTATTGAACCTTGTCAATGTAGGGAGCATTCACAAATTAGACATGTCTTTTCATTTCTCTCCTCTGTTGTTGCCACCCACAACGACACTCTTCGCCTTGGAATAATCTTTGTGAAAGAAGTTCTTGAACTCATGAAAAAGTTAGTTCGTGAGCTCTCCTGCTGATTTGATTCTTGACGAATTTTTTTTATCTTTTTGAAAATTAGTTGCTTTTTTGATTTTGTGTCTTTCACCATAGATTTATTCAATTCCACAAGTGTTTACTCGTTGCATACTTCATTGTCTTGCTTTTGCTTGTTGTAAGCTAACATAGACTTATCATATTTTTTCTTCTTGTGTTAAACCTTGTCAATGTAGCAAAACTTCTTGAATTCAGACATGTCTTTTTATTTTTCTCCTCCAATTTTGCCAATCACGGCCATGACTTTCACTTCAAAATGATATTTCTTAAACAAAAGTCTAACCCTAAACTTTGCGTCATAATTAGTGATGGCGATCACTAATTATGAAAGAAAATAGAAAAAGAGGAGGAAGAAAGACGGTTCTTGTATAGCAAATTATGAATTTTATTGTGATTAAGGTGTCATGCAAGATCACCTCAAAGTTACTGCAAAAGATGAAGAAAATGTAGTTACTCTCTATGAAAAGAAAAGTGCTAATGGTGAGAACTATGTGGACGTAGCAATCACAAAGCATGACAAGAAGAAAAAAGAAGAGGAGAAAGCAAGATGCTTTTGTTCAAGCAAACAGTTAAAAGCTGATTGTGATTAGCATGTAATTCAAAAGATTTTGAAGGTTGTTGCAAAAGAGGAGAAAAAGTCTAACAGAGATAATCATGTTGACGCCGTAGTCACTAAAGATGCCAAGAAGAAAAAAGAAGGGGAGGAAGCAATATGATTATAGTCATGCCAAGAGGAAAGTTGATGATGATCAAGGTGTCATGCAAGAGTTTGTGAAAGTTACTGCACAAGAGGAGGAGAAAGTCGTTTTTTTCTTTTTCTCTCTCTTCTCCATCTTCACTTGAAGAGGTGATTGAGATAAGAAAGAAAAAGGGTAGTAAATGAAATAGTCCTAGTCCAGCAAATAGATGGTGAGAAGAGAAAAGAATGGAAAGAAGCGATATGGTTTTGGTTTAACAAACTTGGGAGCTGATGGTGATTAGGGTGTCATTTAAGAGATCGTGGAAGTTGTTGCAAAAGAGTATGAGAACTTAGTTCCTCCTGGTGGGAAAAAAAAAGAAG